TATGTATTGACTTTTAAATTATATATTAACTGTATATACTTTTATCTTTTTATTACCTGCCGATATATTTACGATCTTTTCTTATTGAACTATAAAAACCGTTTTTCAATGAGGAGAATTAGCACATTTCCTGTTACATATGTGCTAAATATTTTTTTCCCATATTGGCTTCTGACTTTATGGTGGGGGGAGATTGTCTATTTTTTGCTGTACAGAAATATTTAATTTTAACATACAGCTTCTGGATTAGATGTTCTGTTTATAAGGATCTTTACCACTTAAGAGTATACAAATATTCACATATGCTTTCTTCATGTAATTTTATGTTTGTCTTTTTTAATGTTTAAATCTCTCATTTATCTGGAATTTATCTTGATATAAATAGTGAGATATGGAACCAGCTTCTCACTTAACTTCTCAAATTGCTAACATGTTAATGAAATTGTTTTACTATAACCTTTATTTTCTAATTCAAAACAAATTCCAAAGACTCTATCAAGCATTCTCTTAAGCTTTACAACCCTGGTAACAAAAGAATTCCTATGAACATGAATATATTATTAGTGTTTTCTTTTTCTTTTGGAAACACCCTGGCTATAGTACAGTAGCATCATCATAGATTACTACAACCTCAAACTCCTGGGCTCAAGAGATCCTCCTGCCTCAACCTCTCAAATAGCTGGGACTACAGGTGTGAGCCACCACACCTGGCTAATTTTTTCTGTTTTTAGTAGAGACAGGGTCTCCCTTTTGCTCAGGCTGGTCTGAAACTCCTGGCCTCAAGCAATCTTCCTACCTTGGCCTCCCAAAGTGTTGGGATTACAGGTATAAGCCACCACACCTGGCCTATATGTTAAGGTTTGATACAACATTTAACTGAAAACTATGATTTATTTTGAGTAAACGTTATATTTTGTTTAGTCAAATAATTGTGAATGTAAGTGCTATACGTGAATCCTATATTTCATTTAAGTTTCATATTTATTCTGATAAAAGACTTACATGCTTTTCTGACTACCACTTTAGTTGGATCAGGATGCAGAATACTATATAATACAATAGCAAATGATTCTGGACATGCTACCGTGACTACAGCTT